ATCGTGACAAAATAATACACCCCTTTATGTGTGTTCTACAATTTATTTGCCAGCTTATCTGTTGCGGTGTCTTAGTGGGGGGGAGTATGTTTATCTGGGAAATAATATGTGAAAGAAATAGAGCTCATTATATGACCTTGAATGTGTTCCTTTCTAGGGATGGAACCCTTCAGTTTTTAGCCTTTGTTGAGGTTCTTTGTTTTCTTAATCAAAACTATAATCTGGCAGGACTGGTGAAGTCAAGAATAGGTATTGACAGAACAGAATCTGGAATGAACCTGCTTCCCATTTCTGTGGCTGTCTCTGAGGACTCTTCCCTATAGCCATTCAATCACCTTTAGGGATGTGGAGACTTTGGAGATGGCCCTGTTGCTAGGAGGAACTGGTCCACTTCTTCCAGGAAAAGAACTGGAAAGCGGTGCCTCCCGCCACATCCCGGAGCCTGGGGTGGCGAGATGCAGAGGAGGGTCTTCAGTGTGAGGCTCTGATGCAGCTCGTCACTCACAGGCTGCTTTCTTAGGTTTCTGCTGCTTCGAATACTTCCTTGGGGGACAGGGTGGCTTTTGTACTTTGTTCCGTTTGGTTGGGTGCTAGCACTAACCATAGCTGTTGTGTGGTTACATACAGTTCCTGTAGTGAAGGAAAGGTTTTGCTATGAGCTGCCCACTCCTTCCTATGCTTTCCACACGTCACCCTGACAGGGCACACTCCCACCTCACCCCTTCACCCCCGTGGCCTGCTGTCCAATCAATCATACCAGATATCTATGGTGAAATTGGTGTTTTGGTTTTTAACCTTTGGAATGGAAGTTACAATATAATTATTAACTCTGAATCCATCACAGCTTAGTCAATTTAGGGATTTTGTTTGGGGTTTTGGTTTGTTGCAGAGAACATCTGTCAGGGGAATCTGTCAGGCCTTTATTTCTAGGTCACTCAGGTGGCACCTTGAACTCTGTGGAATGTGGTACCTCACTATCTCCCTCTCTGAAACGAATCCCTGTCAAATGCCATCTTTTTCTATTTATTTATTTATTTATTTTTAGTAGGGTTTAACAGTCTAACACCATACCCACTGGGCCACCTGGTAGGGGTCTGTTTTGTCCATGGCAAGGGTGGGTGGGTGTAGATAGAGACAGGGTCTTATTAGCTGTCGCACTGGTTGGAACTCAGTGTGTTGACCAGGCTGATCATCAACTTCCTGCGATCCTCCTGCCTCCGCCTGCAAGGGCTGGGGTTACAGGTGTGTACCACAGTTACACACACATTGAATATCTGAACTATATGTATTAATAGGTGTCTTTTCCCATTGCCGGCTCTTCATAACGGTCTTCTCTTGCCATGCACACCAGGAAAGTTCACCGCCTAGGGACTTCTACAGTTCGGAACTTCTGGCTAACTCTCTCATGGGGTGTCGTGACTCATAGATGAGATTCCTTGAATCTGAAAAGAATAAAAAAGCTGCAGTTGCAAACAGGAAGGCCTTGGCGTTGTTTCCTCCAGTTAATTTATTCTTGAGATAATGTGGGGTTGCTTTCCTTCCGATGTTTAGATCAAACCAGGTCACTGGACAACGTTGTATAAAATGAAGTTTTAGTAGCAATGTCTATAGCCATAAGGTGGTCAAGCCCGTGGTGTGGGTGCAACCTATAGGTGCCATTCTTACAATTCCTCTGCCAACTTAAAAACTTTGAGTTCAGATGGGTCCCGTTCCTGCTTTTTCTCACTGCGTCCCTCAATTTCACGTCAGCTTCACTTCCCTCTCATGTCTTAGGTTGAGTTTAGATCCACTGTTCCATCCCCAGGATGCAGTTCTAGGGATGCTCATGCTTCAGCCCCTGAGTACTAGGATGTAGGAAGCACCACACGCCTGCTCCATCCCCACACCCTCTCTCTTGTTACCTGGAGGCAAGGTTCCCGGAGCCCAAGCCAGCCTTGAACCTGGTCTTTTCAGGGCAGTCAGCTGTCACTACTTGTAGAACACCAGGACTATGTGACCTACAGGATCTAGCCCCCTTTCCCTTGTTTCTGTAGACTGTTAGGTTATTCCAAAGTGAGCATTTTATCGAAAAACATTTCCTACATTCTGTAAACTTTCCTGTTGTAATTCCATTTAGTGGACATTTTGGAACTCCAGCAGGTTCTGGAAGCCGTCAGATGTGGAACAGAATCTCTTACCTCAAGGATCGGGTAATCGGGAGTGGGGAGGAGGATAACACATACACAGATTATAATCCAGAAGGGTTGTTCTCCAGTGGAGATGCAAACGAGGACAAGGGGGCGAGCAGTGGGCTCTGCTGGGGCTGAACAGCCAGGGAAGGTTTCCTAGAGACATCTGCGTTTGGACTGCTGTGGGTTCGCGGTGCAGGAGGAGACGGGATCAGAAATGGGCAGAGTGTGAGAGTAGGGAAATAGCGGGGACATCCGGCTCACGTGGAAGCTTCAAGTGCAGGTGTTCAGTCAGGTGCAGCAGAGAGGACGACCCTGGCAGGTGTTCAGTCAGGTGCAGCAGAGAGGACGACCCTGGCAGTTGTGGTGAAGGGCTGAGGAGCTCTTGTCTAAGGCTGTGCTCCCTCCGTGATGTTGGAAGTGACCTCTGTTGGGTCTGTGCAGTTCAGTAGCTGCCCAGTGCCTCTCAGTGCTTGTAGTTTGGCTAAGGTACCTGAGAAACTGGTTTGTAACCAGTTTTTATATCTTTTTTTATATCTTTCTGTTGTTGTTTTGTTTCATTTTTCTGAGATGGTTTCTCTTTGTAGCCCTGGCTATCCTGGAACTTGTTTTGTAGACCAGGCTGGCCCTGAACTCACAGAGATCTGCCTGCCTCTGCCTCCTGAGGGCTGGAGTTACAGGTGTGTGCCACCACCGCCTGGTTTATTATTATTATGATATTTTCACACCTTTAAAAACTTACATAGAATTCAAAGCCAGCCTGGTTTGCATAGTGAGTTCCAGGCCAGCCACAACAAGACCCTGTCTCAACAACAACAACAAAACTTGCATAATAAATTGCCTATTTCCATGTGGTCGTAGAATCCTGTCACCATTACTTCTGCTCTAACATTTTAGATTATCTTATCGCCCTCACCCTCAGAAGGAAGCCCCTAACAATTAGCAGTCACTCCCCGTCCCGCCTCCCTTTCTACCAGCCCTCAGCGGCTGCTCATCTTCCTTTTCCCTAGATTTTCCTGTTCTGTATGTTTCTTAGAAAGCATGGACCCGGACTGAACATGATGTCTTTATAGTTGCCCTGTGTTGTAGCATGTATCAATTCTTTGTTTCTTTTTGTGTGTGGTGTTTGCGTATGGTACACACATAGGAGTGTGTGGGTCCATGTGCCCATGCACACATAAGTGGAGCCTGAGCAGGACTCCCCCCCCCCCCCCATCTTATGCCTTGAGACAGTCTCGTGAGCTGAAGCTTGCCTTGGCGATGCTAACTGGACAACGAACTCTTGGATCGGCCCAACCCCCCTGCTAGTGCTGGCTTCAAGGCTCACACTTTGCCCAGTATTTTGTGTGGGTGCTGGAGATTTGATCTTAGGTCCTTATGGTACAGGACAAGTGTTCCATTTCAGTGAGCCATTTCTTCAGACTCTCTTTGTTTCTTTCTATGGCATGGATGCCCCATATTTTATATTTATCTATTTATCAATTGGTCGTTTGGGCTGTTTCCACTTTGAAGCTCTTAGGGATAATGCTACAGGGAACAGTGGTATAGACGTTTTTGCATAAACACAATGTTTCTATTTTCTCCCACCTTTATTAAGTGTGAGCATACAGCATTCCGGTGCCTGTGCACGGTGGGTCAGAGGACACCCTGCAGGACTTGTCTCGCAGATGATTGCCAGGCTCTAGGGTGGGCGTCGTTGCCTCCGGAGCCATTTTGGTGGCCCTTGGTTGGGTACAGGGTCTCCCTTTGTAGCCAAGCTGCCTGCAGTTCGTGGCATCCCTACTGCGTCCATCTCCCCAGTGCTGGGGAGATGCTATGCTGGCTTCTGTTTTCAGTTCCGTGTAGATACCTAACTGCTGGGCCAACTGGTAATCTGGATAACTTTTCAGGGAACCGCCAGACCGCTTTCCAAAGTGGTATGGTGTTTGCTTTACACTGAATAGCTCCGTGTAGCTGTTGACTCCGTCGTAGGCAGTGTGATCTAGCAGCTTCCTGCATGTGAGTTTGGCACAGCCCCACACCATGGGAAGGTCATGAGGTCATGGGCTCTGTGGTCAGGCCATCTGAGTTCCAAATATGACAATACTGAGCGAGTTACTTAATTCTTGTGCCTCTGTTTCCTCCCCCTCAAAATGAGACTAACATTAGCATGTGTCTCACAGACTTATGAGGGGAAAATCCCACATATAGAAAGACTCTTAGAATGCACTTAGTGGTTAAACATGACAGCAACCCTCATCGCTGTCGTTCTTATTGTTGGTCTGCAGGGTGCACTGAAGTTGGCACGTTAGTGGCACCTGTCTCGAGGGACCCAGGTCTGGAGTTTAACTTGACCTGCATGAGTCTCTCTCATGGATATGGAGTTAGTCTTTCCTGTCGGTTGTCTGTGTAGACCACCGTTCGTGGTGCATCTACAGCTTTAAAATCACGATTCTCCGCTAAGAGTCACTTTGCACAGAGGGCATTTGCCAGTGTCTGGAGATGTGTTGAGAGTGTGTCTGGCATCCCATATGTGAGACCCAGGCGTACACGAGCCATCTCACGCTGCTCAAGACAGCGCCCTGCAGCCAGGAGATGGTCTGGCCGGAGGTGGAAACCCTCTAGGCTCAGCACCTGCTGTCCGCAGTTTAGGTTAGGCCCCCTACCAAGAGGAGCAGCTTGCGGACGGCCTGCCTGCTACAGGTTTTGCTGATTTACTGAGTTGTCTACTCTGTGTGTGTGTGTGTACAGGCCACTCATAGAAGTCTCCTACCAGGTGGGTCCTTCTTCCCACTGAGCCTTCTTTTTGTTCTGGTGGCAGGTTCTAGAAGGGCAGTTTAGAGCACTGACGTGGTGGCCGTGAAGTCAGTGATGCCCTCCACCAGTCAGCCAACATCAAACATCTGGATGAAACAGTCTGTGGTCTCGGGTTCAGTGAGCAGGTGATGGCCCCCCCACCTCCCACTCACCCCGTCTTGAACTTTCTTCCCTCTTGCTTTGATCTGCCCTTGCGGTTTCGGTTTAAGAACAGAATTTGGTTTTGCTGCAGTGAAAGCCCCATGGCCAGTTACTTCCTTTTCTCAGTGTCCTCTACGGTTCCATAACCAAGTCTGGCTGAGTCATGGCTTTAGAACTTCTTCCTTTCTCCACTCCAAGGCTTGGCTCGTCTTTGGCTATAGGACCACTGGTTTGTTCTTAGGCACACTATATATAGTCTGTGGAAACTGTTGAGTGATCTCAGCTCCTGCCGCAAGGGAGGCCAGATGTCCTGGGTTTCGGCTGAGTCTAAAGGAGAACCTGCATTCAGGCCTGGGGATGCAGCTAGTCTGTGATTGGGACCTGCAGGCAAGACCTGATGGGCGTTCTGGGCACCTTGGATGGCTTTGGGTTTAGAATCCCAACTGCTTTTTGAGTGTCTAGTCAGCCATGCCCCTGAGAGAAGTCTCCATTGCTTGCCTTAGTTCTTGACCAGTGCTAATTTGTGTGACCATCATTGGTCTGGTCCATTTTCCATCTTGCATGCTGTTGGGACCCCCAGTCCCTTGTTTGATTGCACGGAGTCACAGGAACAGTGGCGGCTGAGGACCTGCGGGATCCCTGCAGACTGGCTTTTCAGTCCCACTAGGCGGAGCTGAGTCTGGCCTCAAGTGTACATGTGGAAACCACAAACAAACACAGTTAAAGCCAGAGCTCTGCAACTTGGGAGGTCAGCAAGGGGAAGAGAATCCCATCCAATTGAATCCCGTGGCCTGTTGAGCCAGTTTTGGGAACTCTTAATGTGGGGATTAAAATAGGTCACCTTCTCAGACTTCTAATAACCGGCCCTGCAGGGAGTGGGGCTTGGGGACTCTGGTTTCCCAGTGACATTCTCAACTCAGTTGTGTTTACTTTTGGCTTTCTTCTTATCCACACTATACTTTCCTCTTCCTTTTTTTCTTTTCTTTTTTTTGGGGGGGGCAGGGTCTCACTGTGTATCCCTGTCTGACCTGGAACTCACTATGTAACTGTGTAGACCAGGTTGGCATCAGACTTAAGAGAGATCCTCCTGCCTCTGCCTCCCAAGTAAGTGCTGGGATGGAAAGCATGCACCGCCAGCCCAGGAGAGCCGGGGGAGTTCTGTACAGCGTCTCCCCCATTCCACTGCTGGCATGATGCCAAAGCTGTTTTGCTTCAAGATCTTAGGAATTTTATAGACTTGAACTTTTACAAGTTGTTTTGGAAAAGGCGAAAAGTGTCAGCTGGCACAAGAATCCTGTGGTTTGGAAGGGCGGGTCCCAGAATAGAGTTAGAAAAACACGTCTGGTTTGATTTTCAGATATCTAGCCAGAAGCGCCGTGTGTTGTAACTCCCATTTATTACATAGTCTTCCAGCTTGGAAGCCTTTGTGTGCAGAGAAAGTGATCACGTTTTACACGTGACCACACGCTAGTTTCGGGGTGCCATCCCCCAATTTATCTTGTTCATCTAAAATTTTTGTTTGCTTTGAGACAGGGTCTCTACACAGCCCTGGCTGTCCTGGCACTCGCTAACTGTATAGTCCAGGCTGGCCTCGAACTCGCAGAGATCCACCTGCCTCTGCCTCCCGAGTGCTGAGTTTGAAGGTGGGCGCCAATTCGGCCCAACTTTCCTCTAAGATTCTACCTTGCAGTCTGACCAAATGCAGACCAAACAGAAGGCTGGAAGCTTTTTGATCAGATCTACCCTTTTAGTTCTTGAGGTGCTTTTGGGGATGCAGCTACCAGGGGACTCAGCATCAGGATGCAGGGCCACTGTAATTCTTTGGGACCAGAATACAGAGCTGACTAGGGTGACCAGTTCAGCCAGCCTGCTCCATTCTTGTTTATGGAGTAATTTCTCTCTGAGTTTACAGATCCTCCTGCTGTACTTGCAGGCGGTGGGGACAGAGAAGCTGGTACCATCCTGCTTGGCCTGAGGTCCGTTGTGGTTGCCAGCAGCCTACTCTCCCTAGAGAGGAGCTCACTGCTTTCTCCTGAGCTTTAGAGACCCTTTCTCTTATACTGATGGTTTTAATTCTGCAGAACAGCTCATGCTCATAACAATGGAAGATAATACAGAAATCCAAAAAGATATAAAGCAAAAAGTAGAAGAGTGCTTTGGTGGCTGTTTAGTACCTATCTTGCCTCCAAAACATGTTTATCAATGTATATGGGAAGAAAGATAGGAAGGGCCAGGGGCCTTGCTGGGGGAGGTGGGAGAGGTGCTGCTTAGTTGTGGCAATTGGAACCACCCTTTTATATCACCCACCTAATCTTTTTATCAAGGACCACATGTATAGTAATTTGCATAAATAGTGAGTTTTATATATTAATAATTTATATAGTGAAGTTAGGGGTGTGTTGGAGATTCAAACTCTGCCTTCCTGCTTACACAGCAAGTGCCCCATCGACTGGACCATCTCTGATGTTTTAGGATGCTGTATATTCTCGCTTTGCATAACCACTCTGGAGAGCACCATGCTCCACTCTGTGTGTTTGTCCTGGACACAATTGAAAACGATAGGGTTGGCTATAGGGTGCATTTAAAGCCCCCTATTGATAGTCCCACCAGCAGGGTGCACATAGGGTCGTTACCCCGTGTGTGGAAGGTCCGCTTCTTCTCCCAGACTGTCGGTGTTGGCAGCTTTAGGCCATTTCAGTCCACTTCCTCAGAAGCTCATGTGTGTCTTGTTTGCTTAGCTCCAGCCTCCTTCCCGTCCTCTGTGTCCTCTGTCCACAGTTCCCAGGAATAGGGAACAGGGTTCACTCAAGGGCAGCAAGCCTGTAGTTGAAGGCTAAGATATGCCTGCCTAGGTGCTAAGGAAGTGTTCCGTGGTCCTTGAATGATGGTAGGCAGGTGGTTTAGGGGACTGGGGGTTGGCTTCAATGGCTACAAGTCAGTCTGTGTGTTCCCTTCCCCCCAGTATGTCACCAAGGCCTTCTCTGACCCCCCCCCCCCACCTCTTTTTCCCTCTTTCCCCTATTCCTTCAGAGTTTCACTCTTGGCTCAGGCTGGCCTTGAACTTCTGACAGTCCTGCTGCCTCGAGCTTCCAAGTCCTGGAATTATAGGCATGAGCCACCGTGCCCAACTCCAAGCATTTTTTGTGTGCTCGTCAAAGATGTGGGGACGCTTGGAAGCAGCAGTGCTGAGGGAGCCTGACCCCCTGCCTCAGAGCTCTACCCCATGAGCTGTAGAACTTTGAGCTAGTTAACATGGTTTCCTCGCCTATAAAACAGGGATAATAAGCATCCTGCTTTTGGAATTATAGTGGGCGTTAGTGCTTATAGGTAATGCTTGTGAAACATAGCGGTGCCTGCCATATAGCAACTGCTCAGTGGGAGCCTTCCTTGGGCACGCCTTGAGACTTCTCTATATACCCAGGATTTGATGTCAGTGGAGTCGGGATGGGGTGGGAGTTGTCATCTGCCAGAGTCAGGAAGGTAGTTTCCTGTGACATGACCAGTAGCCAGTGTTAGTGCAAACTTGGGGAGTCTGACCGCAGCTAATTTATTAGGCGTATTTAAGCTCAGCACAATTTGGTGAAAACTTCTTGGTGATGATTAACTAGATCCCGTGTGCACAGTAAGACTCCACTGCATTGAAACTCTTTGTAAAGTACACGTGACGTCTCCCATAAAGATGGGTTCTATAGATTGACCACATGGGACACCTTCCGTTAAAATAGGTTCTGTAAATTGACAAATTCTTGGTAAGAGTCTGGGGGAGGATAGGTCCTGGTCACCAGGCTCTTTAGCCCTTCCCAGACTTCTGGGCTGCTAACAGGTTGTGAATTGAAGGGACAACCTTGTGTGCTTAATATTCCTGGTTCTCTTAGTGGACTCTTTGAGCACAGGGCCCCCAGTGCCTTCCACAGTGGGGGAATTAGAAAACTGTTTTGTTTAACTTGGGGGATGTTTCGGTCCCCACGGCCTGTGCATATCAGAGGAGAAGCGTTTTTTCCAGTATGTGTTTTCCTGCTTTATTTATTTGTTTTGGTTTTTCTAGGTAGGGTTTCTCTGTGTAACAACTCTGGCTGTCCTAGAACTCTGTAAAACCAGGCTATCCTCGAACTCCAGAGGTCTGTCTGCCTGCCTCTGTCTCCCAAGTACTGGGGTTAAAGCCTAGTGCTATCACTGCCCAGCGGGTTTTTATTTTTATTCCCTCCTCCCTCCCTCCCTCCCTCTCTCCCTCCCTCCCTCCCTCCTTTTCTCCCTCCCTCCTTTTCTCCCTCCCTTTATAGCTTTTTGTGACAGGGTCTCACTGTGTAGTCTTGGCTGGCCTGGAACTCGATGTGTAGACCAGACTGGCCTTGAACTCATACACAGATCTTACCTGGTATCGTATTTCTTGGTCATCTGAGTATATGCACAAGAGTGACAGCTGTGGCTTTGGGAGACTGGAGTAGACTGGCTGGTGGCAAGGGCCATCTCGCCTTCAGAGGCCCAGCCTAACGGAAAGTAGATTTCAATTTATTTATAACACTGGGCCACTGTCACTGTTACCTGAATTTCAGAATCTTTTCCTCACCTCGGAGAGAACTCTCAGAGCCTGGGACATTGCTGTTGGTAGAATGCTTGCCTAGCATGCACAAAGCCCTGGGCTCCATCCCAGCCACAGCGTAGTGGTGAATGCCTGAAATCCCAGTACTCAGAGTGGAGGGCAGGAGGATCAGAAGCTCAAAGTCACCCTTGGCTCCACAGCAAGTTCCAGGTCAACCTGGGCTACAGGAGACCCTGTCTCAAGGAAGGGGGCGAAGAGTCACCACGTGACTTTCTATAGTTAGTTCCTCTTACTCAGCTACTCAGCATGGAGTTGACAACGGCGTCCTTGCTGTGTCATGCTTCCGACCTTCCTGCCTTTTGATGACCCACTAACATTCTTCTGTATTGCTGTACTGTGTTTTATTTTTGTTACTTGTCTACTTTGTTTTTTTTTTTTTTCCTT